ACTTTATTTCCCACTACATTATTATACCTGTATTACTTATTATTATTTTTCTATAGGTTTTCTGTTTCTCCTACTGTTGTATTTTTGCTTGCGGCCATATGTTAGCGACTGGGGAGGTCCAGGCAGAAGCATATTTACCTTGTGTTTGATAGACTTCCATTTTCAAATAATAGACATGCCTGTTTCCACATGTTTCAGAGATACTTCTTGATGAAGTGACATTATCAGGGTTATTTTTTAAAATTATAATTATTGAGAAATGAAACTGAATTCAAAGTTAATATCAAATTTAAGGTTATAGTAGCCAAACTTTAAGCATAGCTAAATTGAAAAAAAATTATAATTTAAAATTCACTTTGAATTCACTTTGAAATCTAGACTTGTGCAACGTGAAAAATTTATTTATCAGATTATAATCTGGTTTGGATGAAACAGAATTTGTAAATATGATGTTTTGGTTTGGACAAATTTTGTTCATCCTATCATTTCAAGAAAAACTATTTGGACGAACCAAAAGATCATGAAAAGGCACCTGTGTGCTTCAATGCAGGAAAAAACAAACTGCACCCTAAACATCAATCAGCTTTTTTATGATCATTGATCTCTTATTTTTGCTACCACCTACAGTTCTCAAACTCAGCATTGCACAAGTTGTTTGGTTATATATATCTTTGGTTATATATCCATCTACATCCATTCAGATTTAGTGAATTTGGATGACCCCCAATCAGCCTAAATTTGGACAAATTGCAATTTAGCCAATAACTAATTAGGTCTAACTAAGTAAGTCTACTAAGAAATATCAGGCATTTTTGTAAAGCCAATTGTGAATAAAAAAAAAAAATATATATATATATATATATATATATATATATATTATTATATCTGCATTCAAACAAAAATAATCAGTCTTTTACTAAAAATAAAATCACAAATAAGTAAAACAATTACATTCTAAATCAGTGAATGAGAGTGGATCTAAGTGACACTGGCAGTAGCAGCTAGGCAAGAGGATTTTAAATTTTTTGAATTCACTGGATAATAAGAAGTCACAGGTGTCTCATCCCAGGGCCCTATTTATCCTTGTACTGCAGGGAGACCCAGATGGATTTTTTTCCCCAAGTAAGTGGGTTAATCTCATAAGAGCAGACATTAAGCTGTTAGAGTAGGACCTGCCAAAGATGGGGTACATTGTTGGCTTATGCAATGTATGATCATATAATGTAACTAAACCCCCATTATTTTTGCCTAGATTAGGTGTTTTTAAAAAAAAAACAAATAAAATCTGTCAACATTGAAGTTGCTGTTTAGTGGCTAGGTGAGTGCGCTGGATCTTGTGAATTGTATGTATTGGATAATAAGGAGTGTGACTGTTCTTGCCCAACCTGCCTCTAGCTACTGGCAATATTGCTCAGCGCAGAATCAAATACTGCGCAATTTTAACTTTGCAAGTTGGCCTTCTTGGAGGCACTCAGATTCATCCCAAAGTTTGCTTAATTTGCACAATACAGTAGGCTCACACTGTGCCTTGCATCTGCTGAAAATGAATGTGATTTGCATTGGTAGATGAGAAAGCTGTCACAACATTAGCCTGTACACTAGAATTGAGTTGATTAGTGCTAATGAAAATGTTGTTGGTATAGTAAGGGTGATATTAATGTTGGTTGTATCGGTGGTGGTAGTTGTGGTTATATTGGTGTTGGCATCACTGTAGGTGAGCTTTTTGTGTCATTAATAGCAGGTGAAGCTGATGTTTCACCTATATCTGTTTGATGAGGTTTCAGAGGCAAAGGAAGTTTTTTTGTGTTTTTGCCAATGATATATGGCAGGTTGCTTCCACACTGTGCATAACACTCAAAATGACAGGCAGATGCGTATTAGGGACTTCAACTTGTGGCTTGATGAATGATGTTGGGAGCAAGGATTTGGCTTCAATGCACATGGTAGCTCTGTTTGGAATGTGTGGTGAAAGTAGAAATATAAAATATCCTTACTCTAAACCGATCAGAGGGACTGCTTAAAAATGTGGATATAGCCTGGAATGAGAGGGGCAAAGGTTTAAAAATAATGTCAGGGAGTATTACTTTACTGAGGGGGTAGTGGATGCATGGAATAGCCTTCCAGCTGAAGTGGTAGAGGTTAATATAGTTAAAGGAGTTTAAGCATAAGGCTTAAGCATAAGGCTATCCTAGCTATAACAAAATTAGGCATACTAGATAGACCGAATGGTTCTTATCTGCCATCACATTCTATGTTTCTATGTTTCTATGAGATGATCATAACACAGATACAGATGTACTTGGAAATGGTGGAGAAGATGCAGGAAGTAAGTGCATACTAGCTGCTGCTGCTCACACTCCCTCCTCTACTAATTCTTCTGGCTCATCATAATCATAGCTGAGTAGCTTCTGTGCTTGAGGTATATCTGCTGTGGTGGAGGGAAAGATAATTACCATTGCTGCATTTATCACCGCATCCACCATCAGACATTGGGGACACAAATTTGGTATCTGATGATCTCAGCAAAGTATACTCTGCCGCACTTTCCCAAGAAGGTATATTGCTTGAACTAGGATCATGATAGTTAACCTTTGTTATTAGGCTATAGTGGTTTAAAGGGCTAGGTGCAGAGCTCACGTGGAGTGGTGCTGCACACAGGTCACCAGACTTTTGCCCAAGTTGAAAGAAGGGATCCCTATGTATCAGTTGCAGTGGAAGCAGAGCCATAAATTGTTGCAGCATGAAAAAGATCGCAAAAAACAAGTGATGCCTTAGTATTAAATCGAATGTAATGGACATGGTACTAATTGCACTATAGTAGCTTGAAGACTACTACTGAATGTGAGTGTGGTGACGGTGGCCATGGTGTAGACAGTGGTAGCAGATGTGTCAACAGTCCTCAAGGCCAAGGAAGAGCTGTTCCGACTCTCAAAATCCTTAGCACTACTGCAGGTCATGAATTTGGGAACAGGACCTTTCCCATGCCCTTCTTTAATTTCATCTTTGGAGTAGCATGATGGTGGGTTATTTTTCTTACTGCAATAAATTAGGTTAGGCATGCGAATGCTGGTCAATTGTGTTAAGTAACAGAACATTTTCTAACAAAGATAAGTGTTTGTTTGGCAAAATGTATACACTTGTACAGCACACACTGGACTGAGCACGATTAGACACAAAATAGGATTTTCTTTCCTAAAACAAATTTACAGAAAAAAAAAAAAAAAACCTTTAAAAACTGTACATTGGTAAGCTAGTCTTACTACACTAGGAAAAGTGACAAAATGCCTGACAATCTCCGAGCACCCACTCCTAGTTTTCTGTATTGGTCCTGGCAGCACAAGCTGCTAAATACAGTCTAAAGCTAGTCTCACTCTAGAATCATTTACCCATCTCACACTCCAACACAGGCAGAGCAATAGTAGATACACACTTTATCACTGCTGGTCTGTCTCCCTCAATAGCTAAAGTCGAAGTTTAAAGAAGAATCCTGCTTGGAAATATAGTTGTCTTATTGCTCCTCCTTTTTTTCCCACTATTGGTCACTTCACTTGATTGTATGAACATTTAGTGGCTGTTCCCTAAACATCAATCATGTTTTCTTTTTTTTTTGCTACCTATTGCTTAGTCAGGGATCCAGCCCACATGTTTGGGCAGACCTCTTGTTCACCATGAGAACTTAACTGCTTATATGCCCCCACCCTTAAAAAAAGCCTCCATTCCATTATTGATGATTAAAAATTAGCATGTTGGGGGTTGCACATTTTACCATTAGATTCTGCGACATGGCAGTTAAAAAATCTAAATTTATTACAAATACTTGAGCAGCCTGAATTTGCCTGAATTGCAGTTTGTTTTGAAATAAATCTTTAAGTCTGTCAACCGTAATTTAATGCTAACCTTAACAATAACCCTCAAGCTAACCCAACACTAGCACTATCCGTAGTAAGAATTCCTTCAGATGATGCCACTCACTTGCAGCAGATTCACGCCCCTGCCACTCAAACAGCATGCACAGCACAGCATTAATTACTGTTGGCAGGGTCTCCCTCTCTTTGAGAATCACCATGGTTGAACTTTGCGATTCAGTCACAGTTTAAAGGTTTAAAAGACTAAGTGCAGAACACAGATCACCAGTCAGACTTTTGCCCAAGCTGACAAAATAAATCCATAAATATCAGATGATTTAACACTGCTCTTTTTAAAACTGTTGTCCTAGGAGACTTTAAAGCCCGTTATTACTTTGATGTCAGGGAGCATCCTAATGACACTAAAGAGTAGAGTTGAGCGGATACCTGGATGTTCGGGTCCGGCAGGTTCGGGCTCGAACCTGACCCCGAACCCGAACCCCATTGAAGTCTCTGAGGACCCGAACTTTTGGCCAAAAAAACTGCCTCTAAAAAACTCATGGAAAGAGCTAGAGAGCTGCAAAAGTGAGTAAAATGGGGGTAAGAGTAGGACAAGTGCCCTGCAAACAAATGTGGATAGGGAAATCACTTAAAATAACATAAAAATTTAAAATACAGCTGAGCCATAAAATAGCACTAGATGGAATTTTTGATTTTAGCTTTGGAAAAACATAAAGCAAAATCTAAACCATGGCTGTCAGGAGGATCAACAGAATTATCCATTTGAGAGAGGGTTGGAGTGCAGGGTATTCTCTTTCATTTTCTGTTCAAACTGAGATCAACTCCTGATGCATGGAGAAAAGGCCTTCACAAGCCTCTGCTAATGTGTATCTAGTTTATACTAAGTGACACATAGGTTGAGGAGGCGGTGACCGTGGCAGTGGAGGAGGAGAATGAACTAGCCAACACTGTTTTTATGTTTTTTTTTAATTGTGGTAGCCCACAAAATATTGGGACATACAAATAAAGAAACATTTGCGGCCTGCGGTGCATTTCTTGCAGTCCTGATGCATGGAGAAATGCTCAACTCCTGATGCATGGAGAAAAGGCCTTCACAAGCCTCTGCCAATGTGTACCTAGTTTATACGAAGTGACCTGTAGGTTGAGGAGGCATTGACCGTGGTGGTGGAGGAGGAGAATGAGGTAGCCAACACTATTTTAATTGGGGTAGCCCCCAAAATATTGGGACATATAAAAAAGACAACTCTGTTCCACAGAGTAGCTGTTGACATTATAGTTGCGCAGAGAACCTCGGGCCAATCGTACATCCCCGTGGCGGCAACTTTTCATGCAGATGTCATCCATATGAACTTTCGATTCCAGTTTCTGCACCTACCATGGTGACCACGGGTAACAGGGAATCAGGGTTCCATTCCGTACAGGTAACCTGCGAAACGGCTACCACATGCAAGGAAGGTAGCAGGCGCACAAATGACCCACTCCCGACGCGGGAAGGTAGTGACGACAAATAACAATACAGGACACTTTAAAGGCCCTGTATTTGTAATGAGTCCACTTGAAATCCTTTAACTCTGATCAATTGGAGGGAAGTCTGGTGCAGAGCCACTGACCCGTGCATGCTGCAGCTGAAACTCCACTATCGCCTGCTGCTGCTCGCACAGTCTCATGAGGCGGTGAGCGGGAAGGCCGAAGTTATGCTGCAGTGCAGTTAGGCGAGCAGCAGCAGGGTGAAAACGCCAAAATCACGCACAGCCGCTACAGTGAATGTCACATCCTGTTCCAAGTTGCGGATCATCCTGGTGATGGCTTCTGGTATTCAGTACTCTTTTTCCTGAAGCTGCATCAGGGTCCTGGTATGTGGCCGCACAAATGCTGGTGCTCAACACAAGGGGGCGTGTGGTTACCCTGCTAATCCATTTCACACTGTGACTCCTAACTTCAACATACTGGGTCCCAGTCGCCCGTCCGCTGTCCAAACAGTGTCTGGGTCCTGGTCACCGGACTGCCCACCTCACTGTGAAACTACGAATGGATCGTTCAATCTGGTACGAACCCGAACTTTGCAGTTCGGGTTCGCTCAACTCTATTATGGATCCTTTGATCGCTACATGTATTACTTGGATATTTGGTCATTCTCGAGCTAATACATGCCGACGAGCGCTAGGGGATGGCTGCTCCGCTTTTGCACCCTGCTCCCTCTTATGCTGTGCTGGTGCCTCTGTGTGACCAGCACCTCTTCCTCCAAACTGTACACGTCACTTGCATGATCTTGATTCCATGTGGGGTCTAGGACCTCATTATCCTCCACATCATCTTCCACCCACTCCTCAACCCTTCCATCTTTGCCCGCATGCACACTGCAGAAAGCCACAGCAGTTGGCACCTGTGTTTTTCCAGCATGTCAAGTCTGCAAAGGACATATGGAAATTGTTTAAAAATTTCCTCCAGGCAACAGTTTTCCCTATAAACTGACCTCTCAGTTTGACTTGTGAGGGTATTTCCCCAGAATTACAAATATACTATTTAGCGCCAACATTTTTTTTTTTTTTAAATTGACTTTTGAAAACTCCAATGTAAGCAGCAGATTAGCATCAAAACAATTAGAATGTTTACCACTGCTCAGTAAGCACAATTTGACGCTTTTCTTTGACTCTCAGATATGAAGTGCACCGCAGGCCACAAAATGTACTATTAAGCAGATTAGCAGCAAAACAATTAGAATGTTTACAATTGCGCTGTAACTGCAGTATTAGACGCTTCTATTTGACTCTCAGATATGAAGAGCAGGCCACAAAATGTACTATTTAGCAGATTAACACCCAGAAAATAAGAATATTTACCACTGCGTTATAAACGCAGTATTTGACGCTTCTATTTGACTCTCAGATATGAAGAGCAGGCCACAAAATGTACTGTTTAGCACCAAAACAATTAGAATGTTTACAATTGCGCTGTAACCGCAGTATTAGACGCTTCTATTTGACTCTCAGATATGAAGAGCAGGCCACAAAATGTACTATTCAGCAGATTAACACCCAGAAAATAAGAATGTTTACCACTGCATTGTAAACGCAGTAATTGACGCTTCTATTTGACTCTCAGATATGAAGAGCAGGCCACAAAATGTACTGTTTAGCACCAAAACAATTAGAATGTTTACAATTGCGCTGTAACCACACTATTAGATGCTTCTATTTGACTCTCAGATATGAAGAGCAGGCCACAAAATTTACTATTTAGCAGATTAGCACCCTGAAAATAAGAATGTTTACCACTGCGCTGTAAGCACACTATTAGACGCTTCTATTTGACTCTCAGATATGAAGTGCAGTCTGCAAATGTACTATTTAGCAGATTAGCACCCTGAAAATAAGAATGTTTACCACTGCGCTGTAAGCACACTATTAGACGCTTCTATTTGACTCTCAGATATGAAGTGCAGTTCGCAAATGTACTATTTAGCAGATTAGCACCCTGAAAATAAGAATGTTTACCACTGCGCTGTAAGCACACTCAGGGCCGCCATCAGAAACTTTGGGGCCCATGACAAAGCACAAGGTCTGGGCCCCCCCACTCCCTCCCTCCTTCCCGGGCCCGCCACGCCCTACCTAGTCCGCTCACAATGATGCAGGACTGAATGTGGTGTGTATAGTGGAAGTGAATTAGAATGTGTGTAATGGATGTAGTGTTTGTGTGTATTAGATACTGTTTGTGCAGTGAATGCAGAGTGTGTGTTTGTGTAGCGGATGCAGTGTGTATAGTGAACGCAGAGTGTATTTGAGTAGTGGATGTAGTGTGTGTACAGTGATGTAGTGTGTGTTTGTGTAGTGGATGTGGTGTTTGTATGTACTAGATGAAATGTGTTTAGTGGATGCAGTGTCTGTAGTGTGTGTATTAGACGCAGTGTCTGTGTATAGTGAATGCAGAGTGTTTCAATTTGTGGTGGATATAGTGTGTGTACTGTGAATACAGGATGTTTGTGTAGTGGATGCTGTGTGTACAGTTAATGCAGAGTGTATGTTAGTGTAGTGAATGCAGAGTGTGTGTCAGTATAGTGAATGCAGAGTGTGTGCATAGTTTAGTGAATGCAGAGTGTGTGTTAGTGTGTAATGAATGCAGAGTGTGTGTTAGTGTGTAGTGAATGCCGAGTGTGTCAGTGTAATGAATGTAGTATGTGTGTTAGTGCAGTGAATGCAGAGTGTGTGTTAGTGTAACGGATGCAGAGTGTGTGTTGTGTTAGTGTATGCAGAGTGTGTGTTGTGTTAGTGTATGCAGTGTGTGTGTTGTGTTAGGGTATGCAATGTATGTGTTTTATTAGCATATGCAGTGTGTGTGTGTTGTGTTAGTGTATGCAGTGTGTGTGTTGTGTTAGTGTATGCAGTGTGTGTTGTGTTAGTGCATGCAGTGTGTGGTGTGTTCGTGTATGCAGTGTGTGAGTGTGTGTGTTGTGTTAGTGTATGCAGTGTGTGTGTTGTGTTAGTGTATTCAGTGTGTGTTGTGTTAGTGTATGCAGTGTGTGTGTGTGTGTTGTGTTAGTGTATGCAGTGTGTGTTGTGTTAGTGTATCTAGTGTGTGTTGTGTTAGTGTATGCAGTGTGTGTGTTTTGTTAGTGTATGCAGTGTGTGTTAGTGTATGCAGTGTGTGTTGTGTTAGTGTATGCAGTGTGTGTGTTTTGCTAGTGTATGCAGTGTGTGTGTGTAAATGTGTGATCTGAGGGGGGGAGGAAGGGCATTTTAACATTATTTTTTTATTAATTTAATTAAATGTTTCATCCCCCCTCCCTGCTTACCTGTGTCCAGGGAGGGGGGAGATTCCATCTGTGGTGGTCAGTTGGGGGCCCCCTCAGGCTCCCTGTTACCGCAGAGGGGGCCCAGGCAGCACACAGCTTTTCCTCTCTTCTCTCTTCTAATACCTCTCGCAAGACCCGGTTACCATGGCAACGCTCCACGGGTCTCGCGAGAGTTATTAGAAGAGAGAAGAGAGTAGAAGCAGTGTGCTGCCTGGTCCCCCTCTGCGCTAACAGGGAGCCGGGGGCCCGCGGCTGCACACATTGATTGCGATATTCGCTTATCTATGTGTGCAGAAATGGAAAGTGGGGCCCAGGACTGCCAGAGCAGTCCGGGCCCCCCAGGGCTGCCGGGCCCGTGACAACAGTCACGGTTTTCACCCCATGATGGTGACGCTTCTATTTGACTCTTCTATTTGACTCTCCGATATGATGTGCACGCCCCAAAATGCACTATTTAGCAGATTAGCACCCAAAAAAAATTAAGTTTTAAAACTGCAATGTGACAGCAGTATTTGACAATTCTATTTGACTCTCAGTTATGAAGTGCGCCACACTAATGTACTACCCCACTAATGTACTATTTAGCACCAAAAAATTTTTTACTTTTTAAAACTCTGATGTAACTGTGGTATTTGAAGCTTCTATTTGACTCTCAGACATGAAGTGCACCCCACCCCACTAATGTAGTAGTTTGCAGAATTCTTTCCTAAGCTGTCCCTATCAGCGGCAGCATCCTTTTCCTACACTAATAAGACCGCATGTGAGTGCTGCGCTATGCGACTCCAGCTTATATATAGAGGCTGGGTCACCTGCTGCACTGGCCAATCACAGCCATGCCATTAGTAGGCATGGCTGTGATTTCTTCGAAGGGCACACGAGTCAAACTTTGTTGATTGGCTGCCCTGCAGCCTTTGAAACATGCCATTAAATTGCCGAACACCGAACTCCAACCCGAACATATAGTGATATGTCCGTGTTTGAGTCCAGGGTCCAAAAAACCTAATGTTCGGTATGAACCTCTACTAAAGAGTTAATCTGGCTCTTGATTGATAGTTTTAACTATATTATGTTTGATGTATACTATGAGCCTGCAGTGCAGAGATGTTGCATCTAGTGTTTTTATACACTTGGCTTGCCAAGCTTCAAAGGCCTATGTTAAAACATATATGTATGACTATACCATGCTTATAGATGTACCTTAATGCTTCATTTCAATTATTTTCTATCTATTGTAAAGCTGTGATCAATAATTTATCTTTTCCATTTAATAGCTAACTAGCCAAGCTGAAGTATATCCAATAGGGTGGTTATGTATCATGTCTAAGATGGATTTCATGTGTCATTTAGCATTTTATAACTCCTATTGAATTCAATGAAATGTGTTTAAAGCAATTTATTTTTTTGGTAAAGTACCAATATCTAAAAAAAAATTTTGTACTATGGAAGGGGCAGTAAAAACATACGGTACCAAATGGAATTTTTGGATATTTTTTTTAGATAATTCTAACTTATATCTTCTATGAAATCTCCATTATTAAATTACCATACTGCTCCTTTGATGCATGTAAATACTACTTTAAGTCGTAACACATGATCACATTAATTAATGTTCTGTGTATCACAAACAGCTGTGCATTTATTTGAGGATTAGTTATGTTTATTTTCTCAGAGACATTCTTTCATACAATAATGACATAGACATAGTATTGATTATCCAATCTGCATTCATTACAGGAATCATCCAGTCACGTAAGGACTATTGATTACTCTGCTTTTCCAAATTATTGTCTGTCAGCTTTCGTATGTCTCATGATACAATGTGCTAAAGATACGTCATGGATAGTAGAAGGAAGAGGAAAGTGCCACACTTCTGACAAACATTGTCTTATTTGGCCACATTTCCGATGCTGAGGTTCTCAAAGGCACATTTGGAGATTTCTTCCATACACTATTCGTCCATTAGTTAATTATTTTATATTTATTATAAATTATTATTATTATTATTATTATTATTATAAATTGGTACCTTTATGTGGATGTAGGTGCTTTGCCTTGCAAAGGGTTCCCAGTTATGCCTTATTAATTAAAAAGTAAGATCAATGAAAAGACTGGGTCTCTGCCCACGAGCTCAGAGAACAGAATAGAGACAAACACAAGTGTAAGGTCAAACTGTTCTAGTTTAATAGAAGATGTCTGGCAAGTATCCATATGGTAAAAGTTGTGTCTGGAGTAGTGATGTCCTGAACGGTTCGCCGAACGGTTTGCGAACGGTTCGCCATGAACGGTTTGCCGCGGACTCATCATTGAGTAAACTTTGACCCTGTACCTCACAGTCAGCAGACACATTCCAGCCAATCAGCAGCAGACCCTCCCTCCCAGACCCTCCCACCTCCTCGACATTTTACATTCATTGTGAAGCTGCATTCTTAGTGAGCTGTCCAGGAGGTGGGAGGGTCTGGGAGGGAGGGTCTGCTGATGATTGGCTGGAATGTGTCTGCTGACTGAGGTACAGGGTCAAAGTTTACTCAATGATGAGTCTGCAGCGAACCGTTCGTGGCGAACCGTTCGTGAACTGTTCGGCGAACCGTTCGGGACATCACTAGTCTGGAGCCATTTAGTTTCTGTGGTTTCAATGATCTTCACAATTCTGCAGCAACAGGAGAGAAACAGATAAGTAGGTGATTGGGAAGGGGGTTTCAGTTCACATTTAATTTCAGTTACTTAAAATAATATCATTCACTATTCAACTGCTAGATAACATTTTAGTTAAACAAACTTATCTATGCTAGGCTCATCGTCTGTATTGTAAAAATGTAAGAAAAATGTTACCTGCGCACTTCCCAAATCCTTATGCATATTTAAATAAATGGAGGTTTTTTAGCGACTATAATGGCCATTAGATGCAAGCCCACCTGCCATGTCCTGGCAAACCTTTTAGGTGGGTCCTACACTGACTATTCACCTTGCTTCAGGCAAATAAATCTCCAGTGAGGCTGGTTAGGTTACTGCTGTGCTTAGCCAATGCCCCGTGCCACTTGACTTAAAGATTTTGATAGAATTGCACTGATTTATGTTTTTTTTTATTTCTTATTAGAGACAGAATATTTGATTTGTAGGCTGATCCAGTAGAACTTTGCAAATTGGAATACATTTTGTGGCAGTTTATTGCACAAGTTAATGATCCAATGAGTGTGGCAGTTTTTTGTTTTTTTTTACTGTTTGTAGAAAGAAAATCTTTTTTTTTTTAAATGTGTTTTTAGTCCAGTGTGCTGCAACAGCAATAATATTAGAGGCAGGGTACAGCATCATTGAAGAATTAGTTTTAAAAACCTTTCTTTAACAAGTGTACGAGCACTGTGCAGTGTACTGTGTGCTGTGTGCTATGTTGTGTTTATTTAATCTTTAAGTCAAACCAATAATGTTAAAGTAGTAGTAAATCAACCAAGCAGCAATCTATTTTTCAACACAAACATCTATTCAGGCTTAAACACAACAGAAAAATGGTGGATTGGCGCTTAACACCAAAGAATAGGCAACTACCCCCAGTTCCCAAAATCACTAAATGGCACTCAGATATAAAGTGAAAGAAAAGAATATAGGGGGGTGCAAAGAAAATATACAATATTTTGCTGTGTACTTAGTATAGTGAGTGGAACACCTCCTCCTGATCTTCAATATGCAGAGCCACATGAAGCTGGCTCTGACTTCAATGGCAGATGAATAATAAACTTATTCTGGCTTTCAAATTCCTTGACAGGATAGCTCCTTTTCAGCCCTTCAATAACTTCCAGGATATCCAATATATTGAAAACAAATATAAACTTTACTGGATATAAAATGACACAGGAAACAGAAATAAGCTTAAAATAACAAAGTGAAAAGTCCACAACACAAACGCGTTTCGACCTCCAGGTCTTTATCAAAGTGTGTGGTGAACGCTGGTCTTCCTTTCTTTAAATAGTATATCAGGTGTCCAGTTTGGCGTCGTTTACCAGCGTCTGTCATCCCTTCCGGATCTGCCAAACTTCCGCGTCACGTGATTCTCCGTCCGATCACCTGATTCCGACGTCGTGCATATTGATGTCACTTCTGGGTTCTCGGTCTTCTCTTTTAGAATCCCTAAACATCAATAGCACTAACAATTTTGCCATATTTAAAATGGGAAAAGTTCGGCTACATACAAATGAGCTTCAAATAAAATAATACATTAATATATATATATATATATATATATATATAATACCCAAATTTGATGTTGTTTTTTTCTAATATTAGAAGAAACAATAAACAAGCAAAATATTACAAAAATATAGCAAGAGAACATTCTCTCAAATAAGCAATGTTTAATAAACATCTATAATATAAGGAGGAGGGTCCCCTTAAAGTGAAATCCACTTATAATAGGAACTTAAATTGATAATTTTAGCTGCAAAATGAGGCTTTCTAAAATTTAAATAAAATAATACAATGTATATAATATAGACATAGCATATCTGCGGGAGACAAGGAAACAAGAAAAAAAGTTAATTTAATTTTTTTTTTTATTTCTCTTATAAAAAATTATACATAAATGGAAATCCTAAAATAAAAAGATATATATATATATATATATATATATATATATATGCATAAATGAAATATAATAATAAATATAAGGAGCAAGAGGTTAAATAAGTGCTGACATCTCGAAGTTGACGTTGAGTCAGACACACACCGACAGACACTCACACTGAAAAACACACTTACTGACATACACAAACACAGACAGACACACCAACACACACTCTCACTGACTTGAAACACACACTAGCAGACAGTCACTGCCAGACACATGTACACACTAACAGACACACTCACTGTGAAGAACTAGAAAAACACCAGCGCTCCCTCACCGCTGTCTGCCTCCTCTCTCCCTCCCAGTATATTTAGACAAAATAGTCTCCTGTAGTCCAGGTAAGCAAGTGCCTACGTTGCCTTACGGAATAAGGGCCCACTTTGAGGGTGCCCTAAGATGGCAAGCCGGCCACTTCCCGTGCACACTGTGACTGGCCATTGACGTGCCCCTCTTGACGCACCCCCTTTCTTGCACCTGGGAGCGGTGCATCCTGTGCACCCACCCACCCAGGATCAGCCCTGTTCCTCCACTTCCCAGATGGTGGGCTCTGATTGTTGACATATCCCAGCTTTTAATCTTTGGATCAGCAGTTCTAACAACTCTGAGTCTGGCA